TATGAAAAATAATAAATATTATTGTGAAAAGGAAAAAAAGTGTTGGGGCACCACAAAGGGTGTCTGCCCGTTTGCAAAGGAAATGGCTGTTAATGGGAGGCCCATAGAGCTGGAAGTTGGTGCCTAAGTGGGCAGGTGGGCAGGGCAAAAGAGATAGATTGTCTACAAGAGGCACATATATTGTACTTTGTGGTGATCGATTGGACAGAATGCTGCCTGCATCCTTTCTCTTATATTTCTACATCTAATTGGGTCAGAGACTTGATCTTTTTTCCGCTTTCATTTTCATGACAGCTGAACACTTAGGGTTGGATCTGGAATATCCCTGATGTGGGTGAGCCTCCCTGTGGTTAAGACCCTGGAAAAGAGTCAAGAAAAGCTCTTACACGAGAAGGTCGCCCGTGGCTTTCAAAACGGCCAACTCACCTGTAGCTAGCAAGGTTGTCAGCAGCCAGACAGAAATCTCCAAGGAAATCTTCATTGTGCTGAGAAATTCAAAGGACCAAGTCTGAAGTCTGTGTGTGTGTGTGTGTGTGTGTGTGTGTGTGTGAAGACACCTCTCAATCCAGAATGATTTACAGCTCTGTGGGTTGAAAATGCCACAGAAAGAGCACAGTGCATGTATGTGTTTGTGTGTGATCACAATAATAGTTCCTGGATGGAACGAGTTCCTGAAACATCAATCACTTGTACGCCTGTCTTGGATTAGCAGCCATGACGACATCTCCCTTTGAGAAACTTAAAGAGGCAGGTTTTAAGGTGGAGGAGGGAGGCTGTCACATATGCCCTGCGTCCAGAAAACCCCAGGTTTATTCCCGGGCTTCTACGAGGAGGGTTGGGAAAGCCCACATCTAAAACCAAAGAGAGCCATGCCCACCCCTTGTAGACAATACTTCAGCTAAGATTGCTCAAGGAATTTAATTTCTGTGGGTTCCAAAATGAACAGACCTGATCCACACCTGTTGATTTAATGTGCAGATGGGAATGTAACTGTTGTTCGGCTATTGAACTTCTACTGATTTTGTGATATTGTGCTTGGCTCAAAAGAAAAAGAAAAGTGCCATATTTTAGGGTCAAGTGTTTAGAAATGCAGACATTGATACAACGTGTGTGTGTGTGTGTGTGTGTGTGTGAGAGAGAGAGAGAGAGAGAGAGAGAGAGAGAGAGAGAGAGATGTAGAAACTACTTGGACTACTGCAATGCGCTCTACATGGGGCTACCTTTGAAGGTGACCCAGAAACTACAAGTAATCCCGAACGCGGCAGCTAGACTGGTGACTGAGAGCGGCCACCAAGACCATATAACACCGGTCTTGAAAGACCTACATTGGCTCCCAGTACGTTTCTGAGCACAATTCAAAGTGTTGGTGCTGACCTTTAAAGCCCTAAATGGCCTCAGTCCAGTATATCTGAAGGAGCGTCTCCACCCCCATCGTTCTACCCAGACACTGAGGTCCAGCACCGAGGGCCTTCTGGCGGTTCCCTCACTGCGAGAAGCCAAGTTACCGGGAACCAGGCAGAGGGCCTTCTCGGTAGTGGCGCCCTCCCCATGGAACACCCTCCTACCAGATGTCAAAGAGAACAACTACCAGACTTTTAGAAGACATCTGAAGGCATCCCTGTTTATGGAAGCTTTTAATGTTTTTAATACAGTGGTGCCTCGCAAGACGAAATTAATCCGTTCTGCGAGTCTCTTCGTCTCGTGGTTTTTTCGTCTTGCGAAGCACGGCTATTAGCGGCTTAGTGGCTATTAGCGGCTTAGCGGCTATTAACGGCTTAGCGGCTTAGCAGCTATTAACGGCTTAGCGGCTTAGGGGCTTTAAGAAAAAGGAAACAAACTCGCAAGAACTCGCAAGACGTTTTCATCTTGCGAAGCAAGCCCATAGGGAAATTCGTCTTGCGAAGCACCTCAAAAAATGAAAAACCCTTTCGTCTAGTGAGTTTTTCGTCTTGCGAGGCATTCGTCTTGCGGGGCACCACTGTATTTTTTTGGAAGCCGCCCAGTGTGGCTAGGGAAGCCCAGCCAGATGGGCAGGGTATATATAATAAATTATTATTATTATTATTATTATTATTATTATTATTATTATTGAAATGGAACCAAACAGACTTATGAATGTGCACACCTGAAACTGACACAGAGTAGAAAAAGATTAACCCATCCATCTCTAAATGAGCTGGATGTACCAATGGTCCGACTCTGTTAAAGCAGATGAGTGGAGTGTGTGTGTGTGTGTGTGTGTGTGTGTAGGAGGGATACATTATTAGATGGGTGTGTCTCTCGATTTCAGTTTCTCATATTTCCAATCTTCAATTCAGTTCTCTGCATTTCGACATCAGTTTGTGGGGGAGAGATTTTAAAGGTCCTCATAAAATTCACCAGTATGTTAGTGGGCACCTATCCTTCTACACAGACATTGCAAAGCAGTTTCCCCCTAATGCCATGCATTTATGTATGTTATTCTCACTAATATAATGCATTTGCATGCACACTCTAGATGCATCTGTGAACATGCAAATTGGCTGGAGAACTGCATTGCAAAATTCAAAGAGGTGCAGATTGTGAAGGAAAGCTGTGATTCAGTTCACGTTGTGGTTTCAGAAAGTGCAAAGTCAGTAGGTTCGCCTTTAAATGTGGACCGGATCCAATTTCTCCTCCCGCTCACACCCCTCAATCCCTGCCACATGTTGGAAAGAGTTCTCAGTCCAGATCAATTCAGCTCATTAGGGCGCATTTGAGGAACTTCTAGTTCCTGTGTTCATCCGGCTCCAGGGACATCAATTACTACCAGGTGAAGCATTTCCCTTGTTGCAAGCTTAGCAGCCATGACGACACCTCCTGAGAAGTTAATGTTTGCCTCAAGGTTCTAAAACTGAAGCCAAAGGTAAGAGATGCAAGTCAGAAGGTTATTTCCAAAACACACACACCTGGGATTGTTGGAGATGGCAGGTGGAACGTATTTATTCTTGCAACTTCAGTGGCTGTGAGATTGGGAGTAAATTTCCGTAGATGCAGCTTCAACTGCCATAGTCCTACCAACCTGGACATTGGATGCATCAGACGTCAGGAATATTTAATTAATTTTTTCCTGGTTACAAGGCTAGCTCTTCTATCCGGTTTCTTACAGTTCCTTTCGCACTGTGGTGCCTGTCATGCTCTGGAATGGCGGCTTTTTCACCAATCTACCAGCACATCACACCAAATTTCCTTCACACTGGTGGGTTTAGCGGGACAAAACAACAAATATTGATACTCCTATACCTTTCCACACACACACGCTTCTGTTTCCCCAGGAAAACAGCTATTTGCCACCCTGAATTTCATCGCTTGACTCCTGCGAATTTCTGAGTCATGGTAATGAGTGCTAAAAAAAATTGCTATATTCCATTAGTTTCCTGGAAGTGGTTTCACACCATGTGAAAGCTCAAATATAATGTGGATATTAGCAGGGAAGCGTCAGGGACATGAAGCAAACTGCTGTGTGAAAGCAATCACTGTCACCTACTCTGCTCTTGGATCTGGTCCAGGATGTGGAAGAGAGAGTGCTCCCCGGAAGCAGCTGATGTTTATCAAGGGCAAGACAGCCAGATCCTATATAACTGCTTTATGGGAACTGGAGCTTGAAGAACTTGTGCTTGAGCTTGCTTTTCCCTCCCTCCTCCCTCCCATTCCCTTTTTCCTCACGTATTGTGTCTTTTTAGATTGTCATCTTGAGGGCAGGGAGCATTTTAATACCAATTTTTGGCAAGCTGCCCTGAGAGTCTTTTTGGTTTAAGGACTGGGTGTCAATGCCATAAAGAACCAATAGTGACAGAGAACATTCCACCCACTCTGATCAACCTATGGAACTTATGGCCGCTGGATATTGTGAGGGCCAAGAGCAATAAATGACCTTGAGAATTTGAAAGGGGAAAAAAGTTGGTGCATTATTCTAATTTCACAACTTCTTCTAACTTCACTTATGTTCCAGTGTACCTAGACTGAAGCTGTGTCTATGTATACTTTCTCAAGGCATTTCAGAAAAATGCCTGGGAGAAGAAAATCCTGCCACCAGTTAAAACCTAAGGAAACAAAGGCCTTTTTGTTGCTATGGGTAAGCATAAAGGTAAAGGCAAAGTTTACCTTCCCACCGCAGTGGTACCTATTTATTTACTTGCACTGGTACGCTTTCAAATTGCTAGGTTGGCAGGAGCTAGGACAGAGCAACGAGAGCTCGCCCCGTTGCAGGGATTCGAACCCCCAACCTTCCGGTCAGCAAGCACAAGAAGCTCAGTGGTTTAGACCACAGCACCACCTACGTGGGTAAGTATGTGTGTGCAATGGAACCTACTAACCCATGAAACTCGATGCCACTGAATGGTGGTAGCCATTTGCAATCATTTTCTTTCAAAAGAGCCATAAAAATACAGGTGGTGTTAAAGATTAAAGTTCACTATGCACATGGTCCAGATCAGGGATTCTGCTTAGAGCATCTCTAACAGATAATGCTGCTTTGGATGGTACCTGTAATGACATCCAAACACACCATCAACTGAGCAGACAAATAACCTGGTTCAGATGTAATAATCCCCAACCCAGAAACTGTGGTTTATTGGAGCAAAATGTAGCCATGATTCTGAGTGCTCCTTTCTCCCATCCTCCTCTTGCTTAACCATCTTAAGAAAAGACATCCTGGTTTGTTAAACCACAGTTTCCTCATGATGACTCAACTGGGAAACTGTGATTGAACAGCTCACTAAACAGGATGAAAATGGGACATTTAATGAAAATGATCCAGTAGCATGCAGGAAAACTTAAAGAAGCAAATCTCCTTCACCCTTAACATGATTTTATTCCGTTTGATTTCCGACAAACAAAATAATAGAATAGCAAATTATTCCACCTTACAAATCAATGAAAATTTCCTGGTAAGAATGGTATTCGGCTGCTTGAGAAATGCCTCGGCAGATCTTTAGTTTAGCCAGAGTCTCTTCATGAGATGTTTTTTCCTGAGGGACTTGCTACTTGCCAATTTTGGTGAGTATTTTGGGAGCTGCAGTGCACTGGGGGTTTTTCAGAATTTCCATGTACATTCCAGGGATCCCAAAGTAACGTGGCTCATTCAGACAAGCACGTCTGGTTGCACAACCACGTTTTGCGTAAGTGTAGATCTGACCATCTGCAGGAAAGGAGGCGGGTGGAATTATACTGTGAACCACTCTGAGACTTCTGGGAATATAATATAATAATAATAATATAATATAATATAATATAATATAATATAATATAATATAATATAATATAATATAATATAATATAATATAATATAATATAATATAATATAATAATATTATAGCTCAGTAAGGAATTCGCCCATCCTCTCCTATGAGTCTTAAAAAAATTATTTATGCTTTTCAGGTTTATACATTTCACTAATTTTACAATCATTTTAACATTTCAAAACTTGACTTCCTTCCCCCTCCTTCTGAGGTTCCTTAAATTTATTTTTAATATCTTCTGCATATCCTAATTACGGTAACTTAATTTGCTCGTTTATTTATACTCTTATAAAACTCTCCTATGAGTCTTAGCCATCATACATTTGCAGCAAGTTGGTGCTTTTAAAAAATGACACAACTTTCTGTTGCTCTATTTCTTAGGACCAGGAGAATATAAGAGCCCAGCTGGATCAGACCCATGGCCTGTCTAGTCCAGCATCCTGTTCACACAGTGATTGTCCTGGCTCCCACCCTTTGATGAAAGACTTGGATTCTTGGTTTGAGAGATCCCAAAACTTGTATAAAAGAAGTCCGTACAGCACAGGTTCCAAGGTTCTCAATTCAAAGGTACAATGGCAGAGACTAGCACACATGCCTAGGCAAAGCATAGCTGTTGACCCGACACTGGACATGCCCCTTCCATTCCATTCTTTAAGGGATGGAGCGAGTCCATCAGTCTTATCCCAAGTGAGAAGCTTGGGCCTGCCAACAGGCACTCCTACTGGTGGGCAGGGAAGTACTGAGTCTGTTCACATCTATGCTGGTGGCAGTGTGTCCTGAGTGATGAGACTTGCATCCCACCATCTCCCTTCATCTCGGACTGTGGTGGCTCTCTGATTGGCCAGATATCACCTCCGTTACTAAGGAAACCTCAGCCCTGGAGTGGGGCTGGAGCATCTTCACTAGGTTCCCCTTCCCCCTCCATGATGCCTAGTGGATGAGTGGAAAAGTCGGGTGGCTTTGGGGTGGGACCGTCCTTGGGGTCACTGCTTAGACTAGCTCCACCTCTGACCTTAACACCTGAGCTGGGTGGCTGTAGAGTGGGGCCCTCTTCTGAAACACTGCTTGATCTCCCTCCATCCTCCCAATCCAAGGTCCTGCTCTTCTTCCCCTTCTGACATCTCTTGCCGGTCATGCTCCTCCCTAGCCAATGTCACAAGGCTCATAAACATCACCAACCAGATGATTGTGGAACGCCAGCAAACAGGGCCTGAGTGCAACAGCACTCTCTCCACTCTTGATTTCCAAAAACTGATGGTGGAGAGAGCAGCCATCTAATCACCTGATGCCTCACCTGTCTGCCAAAGTGACCCACAAAAGGTTTGCCACTTTGGGATCTGGCCCTCTGGCCACATCCAGTTCTCAACCCCTGCCACAGAAATGCATCAAGAATTAAGGTATTTGTGCAACCGCGGCTGCCAGGATGTTATTTGCCCAGAGGTGGAAAGAGGATACTGTCCCAACAAAGGAAGAACGGCAAGTAAAGTTAGAATCATAGAATCATAGAATCATAGAATCATAGAGTTGGAAGAGACCACAAGGGCCATCGAGTCCAACCCCCTGCCAAGCAGGAAACACCATCAGAGCACTCCTGACATATGGTTGTCAAGCCTCTGCTTAAAGACCTCCAAAGAAGGAGACTCCACCACACTCCTTGGCAGCAAATTCCACTGTCGAACAGCTCTTACTGTCAGGAAGTTCTTCCTAATGTTTAGGTGGAATCTTCTTTCTTGTAGTTTGGATCCATTGCTCCGTGTCCGCTTCTCTGGAGCAGCAGAAAACAACCTTTCTCCCTCCTCTATGTGACATCCCTTTATATATTTGAACATGGCTATCATATCACCCCTTAACCTCCTCTTCTCCAGGCTAAACATGCCCAGCTCCCTTAGCCGTTCCTCATAAGGCATCGTTTCCAGTTAATGGACTATACAGGAATGGCCAAACTTATGGGAAGATTAAGGAATCAAGAAGAAAGAATTTTCAACAAAGAGTGGGGGAGATATGTGGGTTATTTTTTTAAAAAAATGTAAAAAAAATTAAATACATTAGCAGGGCTCATTTAAAATCTAGCAGTTAAAAGGTGACTTTGGAGGAAATACAAGTAATCAACAAAAGGAGTTAAGGAGGAGGTGCAATTTTGTAAATGTTTGTATAGGGAACTAAGGAAGGGGAGGTGGGAAGTCTAAATAATGACTTTTGTGATAGTATTTGATGATGATTATTGTTAATTTGAAAAATGGGGGGGGGGGTTTAAAAAAAGGAAGATTTAAATTTCTGTTTTCTTAAGCACCTTCAGAAGGTTACTGTCACAACTTCCAAACATTGAAATTTAGAGTCAAATCTTATTTGTATCCTCCAAAGACCTCCACTTTATTCTCACAACAACCCTATGATGTAAGCTAGATTGAAAGAATTGTGACCTGCTCAAGGCTTTCTAGTCAAGCAAGGACCTGAACTCATGTCTCCAGAGTCTACATCCAGCGCTCTAACCATGACATCATACTGATGCTCACCTTGTCCCCCAAAGTTTGCTTCACACCATCCACACCCCTTGAATGAGCCCTAGCTTTCTTCTACATAAGATGATGTTGCACTACAAACTCTTAGGCCTTACCCTGCTCCACAGCAAAATCATAGTAGACACAGTTGTCTTCCCAGCCATTGCAGCTTATTATCTCGGTGGGTATGCAGCTTGGGTCCTTTGAGAAGCACCCAGGACATTTCAGTCCATTTGGTCTGGTCTGCAGCCGGCGCACTGGGAGCAAGCAGAGAGAATGTGTGGAGAACAGGTTTTCCTATCTCCCAACAAACCAGTTTCAGGTATCCCAATGGAAAGGAATCACACACTAGGTTGGTGCACCAGAACTGGCCAAATTCCAAATCCCCAGTAACTTTGGGTAAGGGGTCATAGCTCAATGGCAGAACACCTGCACCTCCATATAGGGCTGGGGAAGAACCTTGCCTATTGACCAAGCTTGGAGTCCAGCAATATCCAGAGGGCCACCAGTCGCCCATCCCTGGTGCAGATGATACTAAATGGACCACTTATCTGACTCAGAATAAGAAGAACAGGCCAGGTTCTACACAGACTCCCATATCACTCTGTACCTTCTTCCAGGCAAACAGAAAACGTGATTAGAGGTGCAGGACAGTGCCTTCCTTGGAGGTTTTAAAGCAGAGGTTGGATGGCCATCTGTCATGGATGCTTTTGCTGAGATTCATACATTGCAGGGGGGTGGGCAAGATGACCCTCATTATCCCTTCCAACTCTATGATTCTATGACACATTCCATCCAGGCAAAAACACTTGGGGCAGGGTGAAGCAGGGCCAATGAGGAGTGTGGCTTGGGGAGAGTGGATGTGGCCTGGGGTGAGTTCTAGGGGCCAGACAGAGAGGAGTTGAAGTCCATATTTGACCCTGAGGTTCTCCACCCCTATCCTGCTACTGTACCTGTGGAAAGATTGGTTCACTGCTCTTAACAACAACAACAACAACAACAACAACAACAACAACAACAACAACAACTTATTTATACCCTGCCCACCTGGGTGGGTTTCCCCAGCCACTCTGGGTGGCTCCCAACAGAATATTAAAAACACAATAAAACATCAAACATTAAAAACTACTCTAAACAGGGCTGCTTTCAGATGTCTTCTAAAAGTCAGATAGTTGTTTATTTCCTTGACATCTGATGGGAGGGCATTCCACAGGGTGGGTGCCACTACCAAGAAGGCCCTCTGGCGGTTCTCACAGGGAGGGAACCACCAGAAGGCCCTCGTAGCTGGACCTCAGTGTCCGGGCTGAACGATGGGGGTGGAGACGCACCTTCAGACGTTCTCCATGCCAACATATCCCCAGGTATCATCATTGTCCATCACTCAGAGCCATCTTAGGAACACAGGAAGCTGTCTGATGCTGAGTCAAACCATTGGTCCATCCACCTCAGTACTGGCTACACCGAGCAGCTCTCCCTAGTTTCAGAGAGGGGTCTTGCCCAGCCCTATCTAGAGATGCTGGGGGTTGAACCTGAGACCTTCTGCAGGCCAGGCAGATGCTCTTGAGCTGTGTCTACACATCAGTGCAGAGGATTAGGAGAGTCAAAAAGCTGGGAAGAGATGCTTACTTGTCACTGCTCCACTGTTGCAGAGATCCTTGCGGCAGCACTTGGCAGCTCTCCGTTCGCGCTGGTTAGGAAAAGTGAAGCTCATGGGGGATGAAGGGCAGTACATGAGCTTGGTGCAGCCTTTGTAGGTGGCCAAGGACACGTCATGCCCTGCAGTTTTCACAGAGGAAAGCCAGCAACATGCATCGGTTTTGTAATTTATCGTTGCACTATATATTCTACTTTTAAAAAATACAAACTCCAAAGCAGGTAACAAAAGAATGGAAATGATAGAGACATAGGGGGTAGGGGAATCTGTGAATTTTGTATTCTCTTAGTGTCTCATTTGTTCAGCCTAAGTTCAGTTCTCCACATTTACACATTTGAGAGAGAGAGAGAGAGAGAGAGAGAGAGAGCAAGCAAACATTCCCACGAATATTCAACCTTTTTGTGTGAATTTCTCCGAATGCACCTATCTTTGTGTGCAATTGTGACCAGTGTATGCACATTTTTGCAAAACTGCTCCCCCTAATATAATGCATTTTGTATGACCCTTTCACAAATGCATGCATTTAAAGTACACTTTGCCACACCGTATGCATTTCTGTACAATTACTTGGCTAGAGAACTGCACTGCAAAATTCAGAGTTTGAAGGATGGCTACGTTCCAGTTCATGTATTGGTTCAGAAAGGAGGGATTTGCCTGTAAATGCAAAATGAATCAATTTCTACCCCCCACCCTTACATCACTGCTTAGCCCTCATCCTACCGAAAGTTCACACGCACGCACGCGCACACACACACACACACACACACACATAACACAGCATTTCCCTGCTTGGGGAAAACACGGCTCCCTAGGAAGCAAATCCCGGGAAATGATCTGAAAGCATACAAAGCCACTTCCCTGCTGAAGCTAAGCAAGTCTGGAGCTGGGTGGCTCCAAGTTGGGGAACTGCATCAAAAGCACATGTACCCCACCTTGGGCAGTATAACAGAAGAAAAAACCCAATATCAATGCAAAAGAAATGAATGAATGAATGAATGAATGAATGAATGCATTCACCCACCAGTTGTGGTCTCTATGGTAAGGGTGAGGCAGGCAGTATGGGATTGTTCACACAGAACTGGCATCCCAGTGCAGGAGTCCGTGTTGCTGCTGCAGTGCTCACAATGCAAGCAAAGACCTGGAAGGAATCACAGAATCATATCAATCAATCAAATCTTCATTACGGTCATAGATCAGCATAAGCAGGGTGGGGGACAATCATTTAAAATCTGTAGAACATTTTGGAAAGCTAAAATTATTGAAGCAGCTAAAATTATTAAATAAGAATCTAAAAGAAGGGTTAGGAGCATTAGACGGATGTGGAAGAGCCTAAGAGGTTAGTATATAAAAGGCTATGGGTAAACAAAACCATAGAATTGTAGAGCTGGAAGGGACCCCAGGGTCCAGGGATCATCTAGTCCAATCTCCTGCAATGCAGGAATCTTTTGCCCAACGAAGAGGCACTGGAATGAGTCGTGGGTGTGATGGGGAAGCAATTCAGGCATATTTATTGCTAGGGGAAGACAAACGAGCCCAGGCTTCAAATGCTTCTCTGCTGCAGACCACCCTTCCTCAAATTCTTTTCCTTCTTCTTCTTTTTCATTTCTTCTCCTGTTGCTTCCAGCATCACCCACTCTTTACGAAAAAGCAGCATGGTGAAAAGTGGGGTGGGGGACTCATTAATGCAGTGGGCAAGCAAAAGGGAAATGTGGCTGACAGTCGCACGTTTCCATCACTTTTACAGTTGATTTCAATTATTTTAAAACGTTTAAATGGTTCTTAACTGCTTCGTTGATCATTTTAAAATTTAATATTAATACAGTCAAGCACTGCATCCATTTTGGTAAACAAATATGGGAGGAGATAGGTGGAATTGGGCAAATCTGGTGTTAATTTTCGCAGTAGCAAGTGACAATAATCCATTGGCAACCTGGCATGCATGTTATCGTCCCATCAGGCATCAACCGAATGCATCTTAAAATGAAAATAAAATCGCATGTTTTGTTTTGGATGCGTTTGCTGTCCTGGGCTCCTTCTGGAGGAAGGGAGGGATATAAATTACAACAACACCAACAACCCACTGGAAGGACCCTGAGTGAGAGGCAGGGAAAGGAAGATCTCCCGAGAGGCTGGGAGAAGAAAGGAAAGCTCCCAGGTGAGAGCTGGGAAGGTCCACCACTTTCTGTGTGAGCCAAGAGTGTAGAGCAGGAGTCAGCTACCTTTTTCAGCTGTGGGCCAGTCCACTGTCCCTCAGACCATGTGGTGGGCCAGACTATGGGGGGACGGGACGAATTCCTATGTGCCACAAATAACCCAGAGACATATTTTAAATAAAAGCACACATTCTACTCATGTAAAAATACGCTGGTTCCTGGACTGTCCGTGGGCCGGATTTAGAAGGTGATTGGGCCGGATCCAGCCCCTGAGCCTTAGTTTGCCTACCCATGGTGTAGAGCTACCTTTCAGAGAGGACTCTGTGCTTTGTTTTTGTTCTCTCTCTAATTTAGATAGTTTTTTTTCTTACTCTCACTTTATTCTGATTCTGAAATGAGTGGGCATGTCTAGCTCAGCTCCCTTCATTTCAACGGGTCTACTTTAAGTAGAACTTAATTGGACGCAACCCACAGCCATCACAATTCTATGTGCCCTTACCTGCGGCAAACAGGATGGAGACGAAGTAGGAGATCAGAGGTGTCTGCATGGTCTCGGGACCCCGCAAAGGAGGGAGAGGAATTGTGGAGCTGAGATGGCAGTTGCATGAGGGGTGACTAGCTTAGCCTGGCTGATGGGGATTTATAGCTCCAGGGTTGGACAGGGTTGGAAGGTGGGGTATGCAAGGAGAATGGGCTGTGTGGAACAGTTCCTGCTTCATCAGACTCCATAGGAGATAAATCACCAGGTGAAACCAGCACCTGTTCTGGGCTTGGTGGCCATAACGACATGCAAAGGCAAATGAATGGTCACTTCTCAGGCTTCTGGGACTGGGGCCAATGGGCTGGTTTCCAAATGATGTTTGCTCCAGTCATTCACTGCACCCATGGGGTGAAAGCGTTGGACACTCTGATGCTATCTACATGCCAAGTAGGTGATCTACCACTGAGCTAGCTTTATTAATTCCCCCAGAACTTTAAAGACCCATCATTTTAATTACATTTAAATCTGTGTCTTCATTGCTTTATGGCTGAATCATGTGCTTTCATGCTTTGCTGATTCTCTGAGCTGCCCAGGGAACTTATTAACATGTTCATGGCAAATGACATAACTAAACGAATGTCCTTTATTCTGGCTGGCTGTACCAGTTACTAGCCCAACACTGACTTAGAATCATAGAATCATAGAGTTGGAATAGACCACAAGGGCCATCGAGTCCAACCCCCTGCCAAGCAGGAAACACCATCAGAGCACTCCTGACATATGGTTGTCAAGCCTCTGCTTAAAGACCTCCAAAGAAGGAGACTCCACCACACTCCTTGGCAGCAAATTCCACTGTCGAACAGCTCTTACTGTCAGGAAGTTCTTCCTAATGTTTAGGTGGAATCTTCTTTCTTGTAGTTTGGATCCATTGCTCCATGTCCGCTTCTCTGGAGCAGCAGAAAACAACCTTTCTCCCTCCTCTACATGACATCCTTTTATATATTTGAACATGGCTATCATATCACCCCTTAACCTCCTCTTCTCCAGGCTAAACATGCCCAGCTCCCTTAGCCGTTCCTCATAAGGCATCGTTTCCAGGCCTTTGACCATTTTGGTTGCCCTCCTCTGGACACGTTCCAGTTTTGTCAGTGTCCTTTATACCAAGACTGTGACTTATCTCCCTGCTGTCTCTTGCTCGCATAAGACTGGATGATTGAAAGGGGATACATACCATTTTGCAAAGCACAATAATTTTTGAAAGCCAGGAAGAGTATCAATAAGCATGAATAAACTTAGGACAGGAGTAGGGAACCCTTTGGGGTCTTGTGGTCCCCTGTGAGCATCCCCTCCGGATGGGTAATGACTTCAACCTTACTTTCCACAGGGACTGGCTGCACTATATAGCTTCCCATGGGGTACTTGGTCACACAGCCAATCCAACCACATCTGCACCTGCCACACACCTGACATCACATATAACATCAGGTGTGGAGCAGATGGGTGTGGTTTGAAAAACATGGCCTTGCGAGTGAAACTGCTGCTCGTGGCAGTTCAGATCTGGGCCGAAGATTCCTCATGCCTGACTTACAGAATGGCAATGTGGAAATGATGGGCATTTCTGGCTTGCACAGGAGTGCCTGTTGCAATGAGTTCCGAAACACAGGCTACTGTTAACCATGAAAAGGGAGCATTCAGTGATTTAGAGCCATCCCAGGAGCCTCAAAGAACCAGAAACATCTTCACTCTTGACATGATTTTATTCACTGGCAAGGAAAAATATTCAAAGTATAAAATTGCATAGGATTAGTGGAAATGGAAATTGCCTGTTAATAATGATGCCTGGATTTGTTTCTTTTTAATCTCTCCTTATCTTCCAGGAAGCTGAAGAGATGTTTCAACACATATTTATGTTCTGAGGGCCTAGCAACTTGCTAGTGCATGTATTTGACAGCTGGAGTGCACATGGCGTTCTTCCATATTTCTACATACAATCCAGGTATCCCGAGAGTACGTGGCCCGCTCACACAGGCGTGTTTGGTCCCACAGCCACGTTTGGCATAGGTGTATATCTCATCACCTGCAGGAATTGAGAAGGATGTTGATTTGGTTTAAGCTGAGCAATTGACATGGAAATGGGCACTAAAATTCCACTTGGTTCTGCTAGATTTCCCGAAGTGAAATCGTGTGAAAGATTGCATAAAACGTGAAAGTTATCAGGTAATCAAACGTCAGGAAAATGGAAGAAAGAGCTGTCTGAATGAGGCCTTACCCTGTTGTACGGACACATCATAGTAGACACATTTGCGCTCCCAGCCGTGGCAGTTTAATGTCTCCGTGGGGCGGCACCTTGGATTCTGCGAGAAGCATCCAGGACACTGTAAGCCATTTGGCCTGGCCCCTAGCCGTGGCACTGAGAGCAAGCACAGAAAACAGGGAAGAAACACCTCATCTCAAATCCATTTTCAGGTTTAGATAAGATAGTTACCCATCCTCCAGTCATTCCCCTTTGGGCTTCTGTCACAATCCTCAAACATTTCACCAAAGGAGCAACCACCCAACTTTGTGGCCCCTTCATAGGGAATTCTGTGAGCCCTCGGGCACCCAGAGCCCAGGGCCCTGGCATCTATGATGCCACACCAATCTCCCAGTGGTGCAAGATTCCAGTGCTCTCACCCAGGGTTCATGTTTCCATGGAATAATGGGCAGCAGAGACAGTGGCGCCTTTATGGTATATGGGTTGTTGTTGTTGTTTTGCACATATATACAACCTGAGCCTATGATGGAGGGATTCATAGCACTGACACGCCAAGAGGGTCTTGCTTCTCCCATTGCCACAGCCTTGGATTGAAGCAGAAACCAGGCATGGCTCTGTCCGCCTGGCTTCCCAGCCTGCAACTTTGCTTCCAGCTTCTAGCTCTCACACAACTCTGCCCTCTGCCATTTGTCTTTCTAACTACCAACAAGTCAAGGGAGGGGGACCCAACTATTTATTGTCCAGCACAGAACCACCTTCCCTAAGCAGCCCATACTTAGAAGGCCATGACCTCAAGCCGGAAGCTAGGCAGGTTGTTCCAGGAATTGAATCTGTGCTGGATCCAGGAATTAGAAGGGGGCACAAGCATACAATCTGCCCTCCCCGCCTCCACTCAACACTAGAGTATGGAGGAAGAGTGTAGCCATTGTGGCTAGTAGCCACAGATAGCCTTATCCTCCATGAATTTGTCTATATCCTCTTTAAAAACTGGAGGCCATCACTGCCTACCATAGGATTGAGTTCCACAGTTTAACTATGTGCTTACATGAAGAAGTGCTTCCTTGTATCTGTCCTCAACCTGCCAATGTTCAGCTTCAATGTGTCATAGCTGTGAGGAGGAGGAGGAGGAGTTTGGATTTGATATCCCGCTTTATCACTACCCGAAGGAGTCTCAAAGCGGCTCACATTCTCCTTTCCCTTCCTCCCCCACAACAAACACTCTGTGAGGTGAGTGGGGCTGAGAGACTTCAGAGAAGTGTGACTGGCCCAAGGTCACCCGGCAGCTGCATGTGGAGGAGCGGAGATGCAAACCTGGTTCACAAGATTATGAGTCTACCGCTCTTAACCACTACACCACACTGGCTCTCTGTGAGCATATTCACACATTCACACACACCAAAAGAAGGCAAGTGGGATCACTCCTGCTAGCTGTATGCTTGCGAAACATGGACCACTTAGAAACGCCATCTTCCAAAGCAACTACTCTATTCCCAACTTAAGAATGGTTACCGTAAAAAAAAAAAGGAATTATAGGAACTACCCAAACTGTACAGAAACTTATTCATGTATGCTACTACAGCAGCAAGAATGTTGCTTGCCCCAAAATGGAAAGAATAAGAATTCCTAGCAAAAGAAGAAAGCATACAAAAACTTATGGAATATGCAGAAATGATTAAACTTACCTGGGAAAAAAGAAATCAAGATGACAAACTTTTTATAAAAGAATGGAAATGGTTTATTGAATATTTACAAACAAATTTGTATGCATCCAGCTTAACACCCAAAACACCTGGGGAGGAGGTAGAGTTGCAATCCTGTTCCCGCCATACACAAACCCTCAGGTTTTGAAGGTGAGAACATGATGGCTGTTAGGGTTGCCATGTGTCCAGAATTTCCCAGACATAGCTGGTAAGTGACTGCCAGAAACTGTCCAGTCAGAAATCAGCTAAACATCCAGGGAAATCTGGCCGTATGCTAACCCAGCGATTTCCCCTTAAAAATAACTCATTCAGAGCTTAACAACTTTGAAGAAAAAAAACAGAGGGGAGAAAGCTCACCAACTTTCCTGTCCAGATTTTCACTTTTTGAAATATGGCAAACCTAATGGCTGTACTCTAGGGACATATTCTAACTATTCACAAGCATATGGCTTCCCCCAAAGAATCCTGGGAACCATCCTTAACCCATCATGGAGCTACCATCCCTGGCACTCTTTGCAAACTACAGTTCCCTAGATTCTTTGAGGTGGGGAGACATGTGCTTTAAATGTGACCTAGTTCATACTAGATGTTCTCAGAGGTCACTACTGCCATTGCAATGAAGCGTGTTACAAATCATGGCTGCTGGTTGAGATTGGTTCACAATTCTCCATGGCAATGTTTCCCAGGAGCAACCAGTGTCCCTTGGAGCAATGCTGGGGTGCAGTTTGGTGACGCGAATCACCCCATCGAAGAGGAAGAGCTTGGAAAAGTCCTGCCAAGGTGCTTACGTGTCACTGATCCAGCATTGCAGAGATCTTTGTGGCAACACTTGGCAGCTCTCCGTTTGCGCTGGTTCGGGAAAGTGAAGCCCATGGGCGTCGGAGGGCAGAACTTTTTCTTGGTGCAGCCTTTGAACGTGGAGAACCATCGGTCATTTCCTGGGGTTTTTCATGGAGGAAAGGCAAAAAGAAATCAACAGCAATGTCAACCTGAGTACATTAATTTTTATTTACTTACTCATTTATTTTTGACATTCATATCCTGATTTGCTTTTTAAATGCACACACAGAGAGAGAGGCACTACCCATTTTTGCCTGTGGCCATGCCCAGACCTTGGCAAAGGGCCAAACAATCACCCACCAACGATGTTCTCTGAGGTGAAGATAAGGCAGGCATCTTCAGATAGTGGGCAGGTATAGGGTGTCCCAATGCACGAGTCACTGTTGCTGCTGCTGCAGCGTTCACAGTTCAAGCAAACTCCTGGAAGGGAAAGGAAATGGCAGAATTAAATAAAGGGCTGAGTTCCAGTCAGGTGGTAGCAAGTGAGCTTTATTCAGGGCTGGCCCAAGACATTTTGTATACCCCCCAACATTTCTCCAATGAAAATAGGGATGTCCTAAGGAAAGCGAGACATTCCAGGATCAAATCAGAAACTTTGGGTGGCTTCTGTAAATCTGAGTCTGTCCCTAAAAACAGGGACAGTTGGAGGATCTGGTTTTGGCACCCTGGGTAAACCACAAAATGGCATAGCAAACCACAAAATGGAGGAGGAGAATTCCCTGGATGCCAAGATCCAGCCAAGTGCTGTTTGGTGAGCGAACCCCAGTAGAGCTATAAAATCACAAAATTTGTAGCAAACTAAAGCATGGAAATAAAGGTTTTTAGATCCTTAAGATGTGTCCTTCAAAGGTCCTTCCAAAGTTCACCTCTTCCCCTAGCATAGAAAAAGACCATAGATTTGGTAAGTTAAAATGGTTTACTTACAAACCCTCCAAAGGTTATATTCATGGTTCTTTTCCATACAGCATTCAGAAAACGTTGCACAGGCAGTAAAACCTGCCTTAGTTACAGTGGTGAAAGTTCCTAAATTATTGGTATACAAACACAACAATGGCTTGTAAGAGCCATGTGGCCTGAACTGTAGCAACCAGCTCAAAACCTCTTCACTCATTGAACATCTCTGGTAGATTGAAGTAAACAAAGGCCTTTGATTGCCTTCCTCCCAAGGTGAGAGGGAGTGGCCTAACTAAGCCTTGCAGACCAGTTTACTCTATGACATTAACCCCTTCATACATTAATTAGACATAAGCATGTTGCTTATATGAGGCTGGTTACCCCACAGTTTGTACTACATCTCCCATCTACTGTATTGGGAGCTATTGGCAAAGGCAGGAGTAAATAATATCAAATGGGAATAATATCATGGGAGCTGGAATCCAACAGTGCCTGGAATGCCTGGAATGCATTACACTGGCTGTCCCTGGCCTAAGGAGTTAAGTCCTACTGACCTACCTGGAACAGGCAGGAGAATGAAGAGGTAGACGATCAGAGACGTCTGCATGACCTTGGGAACACATGCAAAAGAGAAAGGGAAACTCGAGCTCAGATGGCAGCTACATCAGGGATCTCTATTCCAGTCCAGCTGTGGGGGGATTTGGCTCGTGGTCCAACTGGGCTCCAAAGATAAATGGGGGAGAGTGACCAGCAACAAATATGTGCTTGCTGGCCATGGACATGTGGAACTTTCCTTGCGCTTGGTCGGAAAACTGTAGCGAGCATAGAACATGACAGCACAACAGCTGATAGGAGCGAGACCCTATCATCATATTACACATCTACCCAAAAGTGCTCTCTGATTGGCAATATGTTATGGGGCCAAATTAAAGGTGTTACTCTTAAGGTGTGTTTGTTTTCCTGAATATAATGCTAGTTCTTCTGTCCCGTTTCCTAATGTTCATTTCATACTGCAATACCTGTTGTGTTACGGAACTGTGGCTTGTTGACCAATATTCCGGACCAGGGGTGCCAACTTGAATAAAATATTGTGTGGGCCCTGCCCCACATAATCAACCACATGACTCAGTGCACACATATCATTTGAATGGGAAGGCCCTTCAACTTGGGGGGGGGGACAGACTCTCAAATGTTTTATTGTAGGGGGCCCTAGGAGTTGGCTCCTATGTCCTGGAACATCATGCTAAATTTCTTTCACAGCAATGGGCATGACACAGCAACAAACATCATTGGACGTTGTTGTTGCTTCCCCACCCTTTCCACACATGTATGCTTCTGCTCCCCCATGAGACCCCCATGGAAATAGCAGGAAATGACTGTATGCTGATCTAACCACCCCAAATTTCATGACTTTACTCCCATGAATTTCCAGGTTAAGTGAGCTGCAAACTGACATTTTTTCCAGAATCAAATAACATGGAAATGAGTTCCAAATATGTACTATATTCCATTAGTTTTCTGCAAATGGCTTTTATGTCATGTGACTTGCCAGAGATAATGGGGAAATCAACAGTTGGGGAAATGGAATAAACAGCTGTATGACCACAGCCTTCATATGTATATAAAGCCCTTAACAGTTTGGGACCGAGTTACTTGCAGGATCGCATTACCCCATAGGTGCCCACTCAGCCTCTTCGACTCGTAGAAGCTTCAGTGACATTAGGCAGAAGAGCAAGAATCATTGCTGCAGCTTCTTAGAGTTTTCAGGTGCATAAACCCAGCAACTGTGGAGGCTTAGAACACCTATTGTCTGACATGATTATGAGATCAGCAGTTTGCTCTTCCAGCTTCTGCTTATCAGTCCACAGCAGAGCTGGCCATCCAAGTCTTGCTGAAATCCGGTGGCTATCAGCCCCAGCAAGCTTGAAACAGTAAGGAATTGTGGGAGGTGTAGTTCAGCAAAATCAAGAGGGGGCAGCATAGGGTCTCCATCCCTGTCCAATAGTTACTGAGCTGGTGTTTCTCCCTCTCTCCCTCCCTCCCTCTCTCCACTTGAATTTATTGCAGGGTTGGGAAACTTGATCAGGAGAATGGGCCAACTTTGAAGGCAGGGTGTGTGTGCTGCCCAACGATAAAATCAGCTGATGTCCCCATGAGGTCAGGTGATCCATTTTTGCCCACATGGTATGAATTCAAACATGGAAGGCAAAGGCACAGCATTTTGCAAAAGCTGATTGGTGCTTTGCAGGTTTCTGAGTTTATGGATTGCTCAGTTATCACCTTGCAGGCCTCAAAATCTTGGCAGGTTTTAAAAGTGAGAAAGTTGGAGTCCTGGTTATTTTCTGTCCCCCAGCTGCTCTGTCTCTTTTGACTCCAGACTTGGAGTCCTTAACTCCTCCCATAAAAACACACACAACACACACACACACACACACACACACAAAACTTCTTCTTCTACTACTACTGTCTTGTCCGGGTTCAACCTCAATCCCTTGACCACCATCCATCCTCCAACCACCTCCATGCACTCAGCTAGGACATTCACTGCTCCCAGTGGTGCCTACTATGAAGGGACCCAATACTTCTCAATCTGCTACTGTTCACCAGCTGGGCTGCACACTCTGGATTATGTCCTTGAGCTGTGCTCAGGCTTCTCGCTTGACAAAATGGAGATACGGCTAGGAGCATAGGCATGGCTGGAATGGTAGTGGGACTTGCTTCTGATTTTGGGCTTTAGTTTCTTCATTTGTTTTAATTGAGGTTCATCTCTTTTTTTATATACAATAATCTTGGACAAACCTAAGGAGTGTTGCTTTGCCCCAGACTGACCAAATCACTTTTTGAATCAATACAAAGTTACATTAGGAAGAAACACAACTATCTCCTCTATAGCCTCACCTGCGCCACCCCACCCAGCCATGCAAGAAGCCTCTGACTGGGACCTCCCCTTAGTGCTAAAGCCTTCCTTAAACTCTTATTGACAGTCATCTGGGAGAAGCAAATAGAACTGTTTTTGGACTGGATATTCTTTATTGGGCCTGCAATCTTTCATTCAGAAAACAGTCAGGAACCCTGAAAAGAAACCTGCAGGAGGATGGGGGGAACTGTGGTTTGGTCCCCAGGTTGGGTTGAGGAAGAAATTCAATTTTGTCTGCATATTAATGAGAAACTAACTCGTTTGCACTTCCCAGATCAATATGTAAACTAAAACTCAGCTTTCAAATATCCCGTTTCTCAGAATTTTGCAATGTAGTTCATAAACCAAACAGTGTATACAAAAATGCATTTATGTAGGGGAAGTGCCAAAAGTGCATATTTCGGTGATAATAACATATGTACAAATGCATTTTTGGGGGGAAATGCTAGCAAAACTCTACACTAGTCAAACTGCAATTACAAATTGTGTTTATTGGGAGAAATTGATGCTAAAATGTAGGTGGATTTTCAATAGTGTTTCTTTAATAAAAAAAATGCAGATTGCTCTAGTATTGTGGAGAATTGAATTTAAGATTTTTTTAAAATGAGAAACTTAAGAGCACTGATCTTGACAGATTTGTCCACTCGGGTGCCCAAAAGCACATGGCATGGATCCTACAAGTTGCCTGGCATGTAAAGAGAGCTCAGGAGAGAAACTTCATAAGGAACTCTTCTCCAGGATATGGTTGGTGCTGGAGGATTTAGCAGGCTTCCATATTGCGGTTCGCATTTTGTAGCAGGTTCCGTTAATGAACCCGTTTAGGCTATAGAGTTCACCCACGTTTCTTGTTGCACAACCCTTCATGACAAAAGACTTGGAATCTGCAAGTAGACATGGTTAATAGTCATTGACAGTCTTATCCTCCGTGAATCTGTCCAATACTTTTTGAAAGCCATCCAAGATGGTGGCCATCATCACTACGTCTTATAAGACTGAATCCCATCATTTAACTATGCACTAGGCGAAGAATATTTGTTTGTTTATAGATTTTAAATTTCAAAAAAATAAAATACAACTAGTCAAACATTTTCCAGTATGCATTCCCTTGGTAATCGACTTCCTTTCTACCCTTCCTTGGTTTTCTCAAATTATATTTTGCTGCTGCATATTATAATTACTCTATACATTCTTTCCTCTACCTTATTCTCAAAAAAAACTTTTACTGGTTAGCTTACTCCAAACCTGCTAGCATTTTAACATGTTTACAATATTTTATAAACATTTTCCAATCCTCCTTGAAAGCTGTCTTGTCTTTGATTCTTTGGTACATCTCTTCCAATTATCACTAGAAGAAAAGCTTCTCATCTTTTTGGGAGAGTCCTCTTAAATATTTTTTTTCATCTCATTACATATCATCTCCTAAAATCCTTTAGTTGCTTTACAAGTCCATCACATATAATGAAATGTGCCTTCTATTCCTTTACATGTACCTAATTCTGACTCATACAAGACTTCCTTATTTGGCCAATCTGAACATTCCAACATTTAGCTTGATCAGATGATCTCAAGGTTCTACTCATTTGAAAATGACTTATGTGAAGGAGCCCAAATTCAATCCCTCACCCAAGACATTTAAGTGCACCAAAGGACAATGCACACAAGTCATTAGCACCTTATCATGGATACAATCCCTGCATGCTCTGGCATAGCTATTGTACATTTCAACAATGCTTGCATCAGAGAACACCCTGGAAGATTGTTACTTGGGGTTCAGGGCAGCAGGTCTCTCGCTCTGCCACCTGAGGTGTCCATCTCATTTTGGCTCATGGTTGGTCCATCTCTGGAAGCTCCAGAGGCAGCATTCCCCTCCCACCTGCTCCCTCTACCCCACGCAATCCTTCTTCCTCCCCTGCTAAGTACCTTCCTTAGGGCCGTAGGTCCCTGTTAAATTGATGCAAGTATTTTCTGCATCTGTGCATGAGACTTTTCCGCCTATGCAGGTTTCCTCTGTCGCAGCAAAACACCCAATTGGGCAAATGAGCCCATTCTTTCTCGAAGAAGCTGGAGGAACTAGGAAGCAAATAAGAAAGAAGCAAGTGGTTTGCGGATTTCTAAATAGGAAGGTAAGAAGAGGCCTGATGGAACTTTGACAGGCCTGATTCACACGCGCACCAGTAGCAGCCACTGTGTTGGGGTGAAGGAACCCTCCTAAAGCTGGCATTTCTGCCGTTTACCTGTATGGAGGTCCACCAAGCACTCATGCAACTTTCCCTGCCTGATCCATCACATCACAGGGGCTGCTACTGGTGTGTGCTAGAAGTGAGATGGGAAACAGCAGTACATGGAGTACTTGCACATGATGGAGCAGGAAAAGGATGCAGGAGGTTGGAGTTGTGGGAATGCAACAGTGGAAGCTCTGGACTGGCTCACCAGTAGACCCACATCTTTCTAAACCCACCTTAATCTCTTCCAGGCAGGGCCCAGCAATGCCAGTGTTAGGAGATCAGCTTCGCCCCCCCCAATCCTGTCCCACACTCAGAATTTCTTCTTCTCGTGCCAGGTGTGTGAAAACTTTGGCCCTCCAGATGTTGATAAACTACCAACTCACAACATCCTTCCCCGCTGGCCATGCTTGTTGGGACTGAAGGATGGTACAGTTAAGCAACACCTGGAGTGCCACTGGTTCCCCA